TTAGCTCAGGAAAAAAAAACCTTCTGCCTCCAATCTAAATCCACAAGATCTTGTTCAGGCTCAGTTTAGGGATAGTGCAGAGAACAAATGGTAGTGGAAAATTGTAAGGATTTTAACTATACCTTTTGACATTCACATAGATTATGCTGTCGGGGAGGAAGAATAAAAGACAAATTCATGCTTTTCTTTTTTGACCTGCTTTAAAATTGGTGTCTTTAGATACTTATTAGTAAAGAGAATTCCACTTTATGATATAATTTTGTCAACAACAATTTTTTTGTCATGTCCTAAAAGATTTGATTAAGACAGGCAACCTTTAAATATGTGCAGTAACAAGGTTTTCCTTTATTTAAAGTGTCATCTGAAGTCCTCTACTGCTAAAATGTGGCAATTTAAAATATGATAATGTCATATAGCCCAATACAAATATGACAACTACAGCATGTTAATTTTTATATTCTCTAAATGGCCTTAGCTATAATTTCATATTGGCATAAGATTTTATATTGGATTATGAATATCCAAGAGAGAGCTGAGCCATCCTTTGGACATGGTATGGGTTTGGAATAGATCCTCCTGGATTGTTTTTTTGGTTTTTTTCTTCCTGTTCTGACACAGTATTATAGTGAGTGTAGTCAGAATATAGCCTTGAGATTTAGAGCTTTCCTGACTAAGCTGCTTGATCTCCATATACTGCATTCAGAGGAACCTGGTGGAACAGAGCCTGCATCCTGCTGATAGGTGTTTTTGCAATTTGCTTTAGATGTGCTTTAGCTTTAATTTTCATTCACTTACCCAGGTATCTGTGAAAAAAAACCTGTGTTTGCTATTCCTCATTGTATTTTATGCTTTTGTACTTTTCCTCTGCAACTGGAGAATGTTGTAGTATATTTGTTAGTTTTGCTCTCTTCCCCATCCCTCATTTCACACTGCAGGGAACGTTTCATTACTTCATCCTATTGCAGTTACAGGAAAAAAAAAGTTTGACCAGAGCCTCTTTCTCACCTTTTATCAGCTTTTCTAATGCTACAGTGTACTTTAGAATCACAATCCTCTTCTGTCTTTGAGATAATAACTTTAAGGGGCACTACTAGCAGACACCAGATCCTTAGTAGCATGCTTCCCTCTTCTGTTACCACAATTTCATTGATAGCCTAGGCTGGAGGTGTGATTTCTTCTTATTTACTGTCTTAAAAGCTGTCTTAAAAACATGTTCTATTCCAGAGGGAAAAGAACAGCAATGATGAGTCAACTGAGAAACAGAGGGAAAATTTCTAGGGGTCAGTCTAAAGTCTCAAAGAACTTTCCATTTTTGGAAAGTGAATGATGCCTAATAGTTTTTAGAATTTTATTTTTGCTATGCAAGTTGACATAATTTAAAACTTGCCTCTTAAAAATTCCATAATATACCTATCAAAAAAATCCATATGAAAGTGTTTTGCTTCATCTTGACTGTTTGTCTGCAGTTTTGATATATCTTCTAGGTTTTAGTTTACAGAGGCTTGAGGCCTGCTTATAGTTTTACAAGCAGTCTTGAGATCCACCAGCTTAAGTGATCATAGTTTTTTTCTGCTGCTTGAAATTAGATTCTAGCACCTGTTTTAAAAGAGGGACTTTACATTCCAATGTAGTATTAGAAATGTTGCCATTCTCTTAAGAAGTCCCTATATCTAACAAACCCTTTTTTAGACATGGGATTTCCCATGAGCAGTTTACACATGCATGGCTTATAAATATTATAATAGTCTTTGAAACTTGTACCTCAGACACTGAGAAAATGTAATTAATTGCTACTGTGCCATTTAGGCTGTAATTATGTTCAGGTTTACCCTATCTGTCCCGCTAAACTAATTAAAACAGATATAAATATTTTTGCTTAAATGGATTCAGATATTTGATCAAGAATTTTAATTTTGCAAAGGAAGACAAGATTCCCTTATGCAGTCACTGTTTTGGCCTTGTTCAAGTGAGTGGAGAGTACGGTGAGAAAACACCAGACCACAAAGAAAATATTTCCTTCTATGTTTTGGTGCAATAAAATGAGTTGTAGGAAAGCAGGCAAATCCCTCATCTTGTGGACTTTATCAGGGTCTGCTTGAAAGGGTCTGCCAGCAACAGCAGTCACTCTGCTACTTAATCTGGACTTTTGATTAAACCTGCAAGCACATATATTCAGAGGCACGTGTGCATTTAGTATATTTCAGGTGTTTAATTAAAAACATTCAAAGGAGTTTGGATGATTGAGTCCAGATTCTCAAAGGCATTTCTGAATTTTCTAAACTTCTAAATGAATGTATGACTTTATCTATACTGCATAATAACTTTAAAGGCCAATACCACATTTATACACAGGCCAATGTTTCTAGGCAAAAGTAGTCAAGCTCTTTACTAGCCCTGTTTTACCACACTTGTTTGTTATTCTTCCACTGGAATGCTAGGGAGGAGAAAAAGGGTAAGGGATGCTGGGATAATATGGCATAAAGAGTTGTAATGGCACACACATAAAAGAATTGAATTAAGGTTGCAAGGAATGGGAAATGTGAGATATAAAGACTTTTGGATATTTGCTTTTCCAAGGCTGATAAAATCTTAGATATTTTTCCCCAGTTTTCTGATTTTCTTAAAGGAAAAAAGGTCAAGCTAATTATTCTACAATTTGAAAGCAAACTTTCCTTATCCAAACCCTTGGCAAAGTTTTTAAAGAACTACAGATATAATGATTCAGGAGAATGATTACTTGTGTCACTTCTGCTTATCAAAGGTCATTGCATTTCTTCTGAATGTTCCTGTGTTAAGTCTAGTAACTTGTATTTGACTGAAGCAAACCCTTTGTAAAGCAGCAGACCTTGATTTGCAGGCATCAGTGGATGGAAAAATTACTCCTTCCTTTTTCCCCATAATAATCACCTTAGGTGTTAAGGAACAGCTGTCATTGTTTCTAAGCTGAATTTGTCATTCTTAAGAGTTTTATGTATTTGTTCTTGTTATGCTTTTCTGTGTAGTCTGAAAGAACTCTTCAGTACCTGCTATTTTCTCCCTGTGAAGGTCTTCAGACACTGTAATCAAGTCACCTCTTGGTGTTCTTTTTGATATACTAAATGTGCTCAGCTCTTTAAGTTAGTCAAAGATTTTTCTCCAGTCCCTTCATTTGTTTTTAGTTTTTTTTATGCAACCATTCCAGCTTTCCGCAGTCTTTTTATTGCAATAAAAATAAGACAGCAATTCCAAGTATCATCAGTGATGTCCATAGAAGTAAAATTGTCCTTCTACTAGTCTATTTAATTTAATGGAAATTAGTCCATTTTATCAGAAAGTTTTGAGTGTTTAGTGAACTTTTGTTTGGTCTTACAGCTGAGATACACTTGAAGATAGTATTTTTTTCTTTTTTTTTAACCAGGAGGGAAGTTATTTGTCTGATAATATGTCCTGGTTTTTTTCTAATTGTAAGGACTCATATTTGTGTTTGAACTGTGCCTTAAGGGCTATAATGTGACCTACAGGACAAAATGACTCCTCTCCTGGAGGGTCTGTTGAGGAGATTGATCTAGTGGGAGGCAGAAGCCCGTCTCTGACTGATGGTTCAGTATGTGGGTGAGAAGGGTGTATTCTCTCTTCCCTTGCTGATTTTTTTTTTCCTTTTTCTTCAAACCACCATTTGGCATTTTTTTTTTCCTTGATAATTCTTGATTAGAATGTTTTAGAAAACCCAATGCTATTTTTAACATTTCATATTGGTCATAAAATGAAATTCCTGCCCACATTTTTGGACAGCTAATTTACATATTGGGCACAATTTGACAGCACTGCTTAATTTCATTTTTAAGTATTTTTTTGTTCTACACATCAAAGTTTTGAAGGCAAAAAACATTGTGCTATGTGTTCATTGTCTAAAGTGGTTGAATCTTATATTTCCACTGTAAATTATTAGTGACATATAGCAAAATGTAGCTGTGTGTGTTACGTATGCACTTCTAGTTTGGACACACACTCAAAATATGAGGCTGAAGCAATTCTGAGAAAGAAAATCTCATTAAATCCAATGATAAATTAACAGCAAGGAGCAAACACAACTATTGAAGAGAAGCACAGGAGTGATAAGTAAATTCCCATGTCAGCAGGCTCTCCATCATCCTTTGTGTCCTTCACAGAGAGGGAAGCAGTCCTCCACAGGCTGTCTCCCAAAATTGTCATTGGGGTCAAACAAAGCAGGGTGCCATCTCAAAACACAGATCCTATTTTTCTATGTAGGCTGAGGTTCCTACCAGCTGGACAAAACAAGGGCTTACTTTTGCTGAAATTAAAGAATGCAGAAAGAAATACTGCTATGATAGTTTTTTCCCCACTGTGGTATCCTGCTTAAACAATAGTGATCTTTAACATTATCAGTCATGAAAGGGAGGATTGGGAGAAGGTGATGGTAAGAAAGGAGAAGAAATTGGCAAGGAAGGTAAATTACTAAAACTGTATCAGCTGGCACTGTAGTGAATTCAAGGAAGACAAACTATCATATAAAAAGCAAACTGGCCCAGCAAACATAGCAATTAACTTGTTTTCTTACTGGAGAATGGGATAACAGTTTCTTCCAAAAAACAAACCCAGAAATCTCACAATCACTGACAGATAGCTATAAGAAAAAAGAAACAGAAAACAGAAACAGAAAACATTTTGATCACTTTCAAATTTAGCAGTGATATTTTCTTGTAACAGGATTTGAGAAAATAGAACTGAAATTTGTCTAATTAGATTAAATGTATTCATATACCTGTTTTGCCTGTGGTAAATAGCTCTAACTGCTAATATTGGTGCTGCAAGATTGAATAAAGTGTGTTCACTTTTATCCCAAGCATCTTGCAATTGTGTGCATTTCTATCAGAGATGAGAAAAGACATAAAAAACCAACTATGGCAAACCTGGCTGATAAACTGTTATCTATCTGAATTGAAATAATCATATCTTGTAGTAATAAAGACTTTTTTTTTTTTTTTTTTTTTTTTTTGCAGGTACACAAAGATGAAGACAGCGACCAACATCTACATCTTCAACCTGGCTATGGCAGATGCACTTGTTACCACGACCATGCCTTTCCAAAGCACTGAGTACCTGATGAACTCCTGGCCCTTTGGTGACGTGCTGTGTAAAATAGTGATTTCTATTGACTATTACAACATGTTCACCAGCATTTTCACACTCACCATGATGAGTGTTGATCGATACATTGCTGTGTGTCACCCTGTGAAGGCTCTGGACTTTCGTACACCTCTCAAAGCAAAGATAATCAACATCTGTATCTGGCTGCTGTCCTCATCTGTTGGTATATCAGCAATAGTTCTGGGAGGCACCAAAGTCAGGGAAGGTGAGTGTGAGCATTCAAAATTCAGTCTTTTTATTTCTCAACTGACAATAAATTGTAGGTTCAAATATTGATCAAACCTTATTTATTCCTTCTTCAAAATTACATTTAAATTCCTGACATTTTGAAATATATAGTAGAACATCTCAGTACAACATATAAATCATTTAAGCTCTGATGCCCATACTAAATAAAAGAACAAAATGCACTTTGGAGCACTGCCTGTGCTAAAATGAGACCATCAAAAACTACAAGCACACAGTAGGGGAAAATTATCAGGAGTTTAATCACAATGGGCAAATCTAGAATCAGTTTAGGTGAAATCTTGAAATGTGGGCTTAAGGTTCTTTTTGTATATGTTGTGAGAGTAGTTTCAATGAAGTCCCAACAGCAAAACCTAGAATTCTTGGGAGTTTATTATCACAACCATTTCACAGAGTTGAAGGCATGGTGAAGAAAGGAAAAATCAGTAGCTGGAGAGAGAAAATTAAGGTAAATGATGTATGACAATATCTCAATATCATATTTAAAATAGGATGGGAATTTATATGGAAACCTGGAAAAGCTGAGAACAAGGATTGTCACAGTAAATGGAAATTCAGGCTATGGTAGGGAAACAGCTACAAGAACACAAAGTCAATGAAAACTGTATGCAGACCATGTGTAGGCTTTGCTTGAAATCCCTGTTCCTTGAAGGACTGTGGATTTAGCCCCTATAGATCCTGACTCATTACCCTGCTATGGGGTTAATCTGATTTTGAGACCTTCCTTGAGAAGGAAAGAGGAGAAGCATTTTCTCACACACGTGCTTCATACCCACAGGTGTAAGTGCAGTGCAGAGGCATCTCGGGGTCTTCAAAAAGCTGGAGACTTCTAATGCTGTCCTTGGTAGGGGTCTTCCTATTACTGGGTGGCTGGAAAAAATACAGGCATTTATTTGGTAGGAACCTTGTTTGAGGTGTAAACAACCTTTTGAAAAATTATTCCTAATTTTCTGAACTATCAACCCTTCCTATTTAGAAAGGTTTCATTCCTCTTGAGACAAATGTTTACCTAAGGGCACTGTTTCATTTGGCAGACAATAAATGCAGTACGTTAAGCTGTTTGACATAGACCAATGTGAAAAATCATTTCAGTAACAGCTGCTCAAGGACTGATAGATTTGGCTGAAGATATATAGATTTTGTTCTTGCTGTTAGTCTTCTGTTATGTAGGTGAGAGAGAAGTCCTCTGGAAGCTCTCCTTTCAGTGCTTTGGGGGATCACATGTCTTGGTCTGCAGTGCTGTAGCTCTTCTCCCCAGCAAAGTTGTGACAGGCTCTATAAAACAAGGTCTACCTGGGGAAACATTAACTTCAGGCATATTTGGAAGAATGTCTTGCTACATACGAGATCCTGAAGGCCATGGGACACTGGTTCAGGCAGGTGTTTTGTTGGAACCTGCTCAACTAACAGAATATTCCTGTCATTCAGTGTCAGCAGTACGTTTAGATCACGGGGGTCCTCTGAGGCCAGCAATGATTTAATGCCTTTTCCACGCCATGTAGAAGGCAGCCCTTTTTTATAACTTATGAAACAGAGACCTGTAATACAGAACACAGCTGGGCTAAATGAGGTTGGAAATATTGGCAGCTGCTTGTCAGCTGCTACTGTTCCTCCCTGCTTGTCTAATCTAAGGTCTCTCTTGAGCATTTAGTGTCAATTACCTTGTCTGGTGTGCTCATGAATTGCCCTGATAAATGCTGAAGTGGAAGGCGAGGATGCTCCCCTTGCCTGACAGCTGGAGCTCAGGCCTGAAACTTTATGTCATGTTGGTTAAAACATTTGTTGTTTATATGCTTCAGGGCCTCTGTTGGATTCACATTTAAGCAGCAACTGAACAACAAATGGAAAGTGATTATACTTGAGGTTCCCTCACCGTGCTCAGTTAATCCATTTTGTTATCGCAGCTCAGAATTGCTCCCAGGTGTGTCCTTTTAGATACGATTTTCCTGCAGAATAAATTTTACATCTGTGTAAATTTTTCTGCTGTGGCCTTAATGGAAGATTTTTTGCTGAAGGATTGTTCTGCTATCAAAAAAAAAAAAAAAAAAAAAAGTATAAAATTAACTCTTTGTATTGCCAGTAAGGATATGAAGGATATGAAAGTGACATAATCAATATTTTATATATATATATAATATGTATGTTTCTTAGACCAATATTAAGATTAATCTTAAATGGTGGTTTATCAAGCACATTCTAAAATATATTTACAACAAATAACATATAGAATTCAGTGTTTTTCCTTAAATATATCAATATATTTGGAATATTTGTGTTTCCAAGTAGAAAATGTCAGTATGAAATCTGAGTATTATGATACTATTCATAACTTCTGCAACTTTTCAGGCAGTAAAAATATAATAATAAATAATAAATATTTATAAATAATATATCCAATAAATATATTGCATTTTATTATGTTCCACTTCCAAAGTTCCAGAAAATTAATATTGTGTTGTGCATTATGACCAGAATTTCTATTGACTGTTTCCTGCTTGTAAACAGGGAAAATGTAAACAGATTCCATAAAATACTATGCTATGCCATAGTATATATATATATATCAAGTGCAATACATTAATAATAATGAATTTAGAATAAGATTTTCCATAGAAAGTAAACTGCAATGAGATGCAAGATAATAATTAAGTTTGTATTTGATGATTTGGAATTCTAAAATAACATTGCCAACCACAAATTATAGCAAAATACAGTGAGGACGACATAATAATTTTGATAAATATGTGAAATTATGTCAGTAGATCTGAAGAGACTGTTTCTTCTGGGAGTGAGTTTCATTTGAGTAGCTGGATGTGGTCTGGAGCAGCCATCCCTGATCATACATCATTTTCATCCCACACATCTGGAGTCAGCTTTACTAATTTAGAAAATACATCGGCATCCTGATTTTATGTCATGGCTGCTAAGCCATGCTCTACTACAAATAACAGTAATACTTGACAGGAAAACTTCTTTGAAGAGGATTATTGGCATTTCTAGAATGAAATTAAGTAAAAGCAAGTATGCTTATGAAAACCTACATCACAAAGGATTTAGATAAATTCATTGAGTGTCAAGTCACACTTGTGCTGTCATCTGAGTATCCTGCATCAACCTAGAAAAGATGTCTTTTCCATTTCCAGCTTTCAGAATCATACATATTATTTAAAATAAAACCTCAAAATATTTAGCTTTTTTAGCTGTAAATGCTTTCTATTAAAATGTTTCTGTATTTAATATTGCCCAGTAACAGCTTTCTGATATCTAACCATGGAAATGTGTGTATGGCACTACATGATAACTTTCTCCCCTAATTGTTTTTCAAAATAAATTGTCTGCGATATCTTTTTGATTTGGGAAGCATTTTTATAGCAGGGAAATACAGCCTGGTTTTTTTCTGACTCGTCCTGATCGAGACAGATATGAAAAAATGATGTTCAGGAGTACATGGAATCACTCCACTCTTAGATCTGAATCAGTGAAAAACAATACATAATAATTTGTAGAGGAATGACAAACTCAGTAGGAAAAATTATAAAAAATCCAAAGAACTTTACAGGATAAAATCTAAGCTGCAATTCAGAATGAAAAATCCCCGTGTTACCCTGACTTATCTTCAGTAGAGTTGAACTACTGACAGTAGTCGTAAATTTACCCCTTCTCTTGCCTTTTCATTTATCTTATTACTTATTTTTCCACATGTTTTATATGCTGGAAGGCTCCAATGAGGTCAGCAAATTAAACCTCAGATATTTCATTCCTTAGCTGCCTCCTGTCAGATGAAATATTTCTGCTAAATACATTCAAGTGGCAGCCTGTGGCTCCGAATCCTGGCATGGACAATGGCAAGGGGCTGGACTGATCTCTGTGGCTCAGATGCTGCAGTCTCTGCACAGGCTGCATTTCCAATGGCATGATCTGCAAAAAGAGTAGCTCCCATTGACTCCATGCACACGTGTATTTAATTTGCTTCTATTTAACAAAAAAGAAGATGTTTCTATGGGTTTTTTCTGAATGTAAGCATTTGTGTGTACTCTATTTGTGCTGCAAAAGGCACATGGGAAAAGATTATTACACAATTATTATATATTGGCAAAATTTTCTTACTATCAAAAGCTCCTTCAGCTTCTACCATTCATGATATCAAAAATCTTTTTCCACCCACAGACAAAAATATATGTGGTTTGATAATAATGATGAGATTTCTACTTTGCTGAACATGGTACTCAGTCTGGTTTTAAATCTCAGTGAAATTCAAATAGAAACAACTTTACAGATTTTGTTTTTGTGCTCTGCTTTTTTTGATCCTCCCATGGGAAAGAAATTTTGTACAATATTTTGCATGTGAAAAAGCTCAAAACTCAGTAATTTCTAGACACAGCTATATAAAACAAGTTTTAACGCTAACTGAAAGCTTCCTTGGAGTGATTTAATGATAACTCCATTTATTAATATCGCAGTACATGCTAATCACTTTTCATAGGTTACACTATGATAATGACATTGTTTAGAATATCTAATAACAAAGCAATTTTCTTCTTGCTTCCTTCATTTTTAGATACTGCTAGCACTGAATGCTCCTTGCAGTTTCCAGACAGAGATTATGTGTGGTGGGACATCTTCATGAAAATCTGTGTCTTTGTCTTTGCGTTTGTTATTCCGGTTCTCATTATAATTGTTTGCTATACTCTGATGATTCTGCGCCTGAAAAGCGTACGGCTTCTCTCCGGGTCTCGAGAAAAAGATCGAAACCTGCGCCGCATCACCAGGTTGGTGCTCGTGGTTGTGGCAGTTTTTATCATCTGCTGGACTCCTATTCACATTTTCGTGCTGGTTGAGGCCTTAGGGGACGTGTCCCACAGCACTGCTGCCATATCCAGCTATTACTTCTGCATTGCTTTGGGTTACACCAACAGCAGCCTCAACCCAATCCTTTATGCCTTTTTGGATGAAAACTTCAAGAGATGCTTCAAGGACTTCTGCTTCCCCTTCAAGATGAGAATGGACAGGCAGAGCACCAGCAGAGTCAGAAACACTGTGCAAGACCCAGCTTACATGAGGGAAGCAGGTGGGGCAAACAAACCTGTATGACTAGTCGTGGAAATGTCCTCTTACTGTCCTCAGGAGAGAGAGGAGTCCAATGACCTAGGACTGACACAGATTACGACTGCAGTTTGAGATTGACTCACCCAGACAGACATTTCTGGAATATTTCAGAAATCCCAGCAGTTTGAACTAAAGCAAGTTTATTATTGATAAACAAGAATCTCCTGAAAATTGGCTCAAATGAAAAGCACCTGGATGATGGTCAGGTTTTGGCACCGTATCTGCTGTACTTTGGCCGGCACCAAAACACACTTTTGCAGAGTGAAGAGATAATGTTGCACCAGGTGATTCCAGATGAGAATGGTTCTCACTCTTCTCTTTACAACAGGTAACATTGTAAAAGGCAACATTTGGTCATAAAACTGAACTATACCAGAAACTTCTGCCCCACCAGTGATTGCTTCTAAAGTATGGAGTTTGATAACTTGATCCTCTTTAACAGTAAAGAGTGTTAGGTTTCTGTGAAAAATGCCACAGCTGTAATCAATATTGTCTTCAATTAATATATCTGTTTGTGCTGTGAAAATCCAATTTGAGCATGATCTGCCCACACACCAAAGTGATTTTTTTTGTGTCTGTGTATGGTAAAGCCTTTTGGCATTCAAAAATACTGTAATTTAATGGGAATTGTTATCACATGTTTAATCACCTCTGTGTAATGTTTTGTATGCGTGATTTTCCAAGGTGGTTGTTTCTTTATTGAGTCTGAATAATATAATATGCATTTTCAGAGTGTATATTGAACAAGAGGCTAGAAAACTTCAAATGCTTCACTTGTTACAAAACTGATGAAAAGTCGTGTTACATTCATTACATGGAGGAAACACTCTCATATGCAACTTGTTTTCCTGGACAATATGTAAGCAGACTGAAATAAATATTTGACAAATTAGAAACAAGGGAAGTAGCACATGAACTAACTGTATTGATACAATGGAAATTAAATATTACTGAATGCTTTAATGGCATTTCATGAAAATTATCCTGGTTTATTGATGCTGATATGTTTTCTTCGATACAGTCCTATGACTTCAGTAATTTTCTCTTTTCCTGTGAAGGTGGAGGTGTCAAGCCACAGATAAACAGATTACTAGCTTACTGAAGGTGAGTTTATGGTAAAATCGAGCCTAACTTCTTCTGTAGACTTTTGCCTTCCTGATGTTATATATTGCAACTCCCACTACAGCTGTTGCTGAAATTTGGAGGAATGCTCTCATTATCTTCACCCTGAATAGATACACCATACATGTTCTTGTTAATTTCGTTCCTTATACAAAAGAAAGAATAATGTGGGTGCCTTCATTTCATGGAAAATTTTCTCAGAAACACAATCTGGTTTGGTCCTATCAGACCAAAAATGCTTTATGCCCACCGGTACAAATAATGAGTTTTTTATTTAACTGGCAGTCCAGTTCCTGTGGAAGTGCTGTAGAAAGTCAGCCTTCTGCAGGACTTACATATACTTTATTGTTAATACAGTCATGATGTCAAATATTTTTGATATCAAATATTTTTGATATCAAATGCTGTTGTTGAAATAATCAAGACAACTCTTTCTGGACAAGTCTAGCACTTTCTGATTGTTTCTACGTGAAGAATGATTAGCTGACCTCAGGATGCTTGCTTTACCTGGGGAAGTGAACGATACTCACACAGCTGTTGAGTCTCACCTCCTATTCCATCATTCATCCATTTTTTTAACATGCAACCACCTTTCTAAACTAAGTCTTGACCTTTAAATAGCCACAAAAAGAGAATGTTTAAAGTAAAAGTTGAAAATTCAAGGCATTTATCAAGTTAGTAGCAAGTGAAATGGGAAAGAACTAGAATCTATTTTCATTCAAAATAACCTATTTTCTTGTTCATGACTTACCATTTGCATATGTAAGTATGTGCTTGAATAGGGTTTTTGTTCTACACATTATGTGCAATGCTTTGCATTGCAATGAAAAATCAATGTTCTTAATTTGCAAAAAGGAGGCTTCTAATAATATTTTTGAGGTTTATGTTTTTAAGAAGGAGATCATGATTTCTATCACAGTAGGAGGAAATTATAACTTCCTAACAATTAAGCTTGCAAAATGTTATAGGAATGTGTCCTTAAGGTTTCTTTCTGTAATTGAACATTAACAGGCAAATTAGTCTGAATGCAATAGAAAGAAATCTTGGAAGTTTTCTTGTCAAATTGAGCAGCTTACTGCACTTCACTGAAAACCAGCAGAAAACTGGCCAAGATATCTTTCACACATGAGAAAGTACATTAAAAATGATACTACGGTCTTGCTCACAGAGTCTGCTCCTAGATGATTGAATTCCCATTGCAAAACACTTCACTTTCTTTGTAACTCCAAGCCAATGACTTGCCCTCTCTCTTGTGCTGGCTCCAGGATGCTGCAAGAGGTGAAGGCAGGGTAGGAGCTGCCTGGCTCAGGAGTAGGTCTGGCTGGGGAAAGGGGCAACAGGGACAGGCTGTGCTGTCCCATGAGGGGCAGACACATGCAGGCAGCCTGGGAATTGGTTGTACTTGCTACTACCACTCTTATCTCCCTTTCTTTTTGGAGGTCCCAAAAATTCAATACTGTAAAAGCATGGTCATGGACCTGCTTGTGGAGCCAAATTCCAATCAATAAACTAGTATGGATAGCTAATATGTTTCTTTCTGTGTTTTTGCTTCTTTTAACTGAGAAGTCCTTTATTTGGAAAATACACTTGGTGTTCTGGTTCAGGACAGACCAACACATGGTAGAGAAATGATGCTGAGAAACCCCAAGTTTAGTTAATGAGAAATATATCAACAAGATGAGAAATTCACAGGAAAACTGAGAATGAAATTTTTGTCCTGTGAAAGGCAAAGGGAAAGCACACCATTCTGAGCCAGAATTCTTCTTGGTTCTGCTAAATTAGTGTAGTCTTTGCAAAGAAGACAGGAAGATTGTGCTGCGATTTCATTTTCCTCAATTGTTTATCAATTCTTAATCAAACATAATCATTGTAAATGTGGCTCTTTTCTTCCCAGTGAAGTTTTTTTCTTCAGAAGAAAATGTGGACTCAGCAAAATTGATTGAGTTTGTGATAACTTATGGAATCTGTCAAATAAGAAACGTAATTGTGTCTGGATATTTTTTAACTGGATCTTACAGGTGTGCAATACAATACAGTGAGTCCATCTATTCAATGCCAGAGTGATAGACTGAAAGATATTTCAGCTGGCTGAATCAAAGTGTTTTGGCTTGGGTTTTTCTTTTTGTTGGACTGCATGTGGCTTGGGAACTGTTGCTGCATAAAGCTCTGACATGCAAGGTGGAATGATCTCAGACTGCAGATTTTGATCACTTAGTTAAAAGTGTTTTGATGTGCAGCTGTGTGGCTAATGCAAGAGAGTGTGCAAGCACTGGGAGCTGCTTGTTGGAGGGAAACAGCTGAGAGCAGGAGCTGCTTTTCCTGCTGTGCTGGGTAAAACTGCCTCACACTGTGCAAGGGCTGCTTAGCTTTAGGCTACACCACTGTGATTTAACCCCAGCTGGCAACAAAGAGCAATGGAGTAACTTTCTCACTGCCTGTTCCTGCCCCTCCAAAAACTTGTGGGTTGGGGTAAAAACAGTTAAATAATGGAAACAAAGTAAAATATACTAATATTGATACTAATGCTAATACTATTATTAATAAAAAGGAGACAGAAAAATAAAACCCGAGACACACACCTGATGCCCAGTACAATTGCTCATCACCCACTGGCCAATGCCCAGCCCATCTTCCACAGTGCCTGGCTCCTCTTGGCCAGCTCCTCCCAGTTTATACTCTGAGCATGAAATCCTGTGGCATGGAATTCTCTTTTGGCAAGACTGGGTCAGCTGTTCTGGCTGTGCTCCCTCCTGTCCTCTTGTGCACCTGCCTGCTGGCAAAGCATGGGAAATGGAAAGTCCTTGACTCAGGGTAAGCCCTGCTTAGCCACAACTAAAATATCAGTGTGTTATTAACGTATTCTCTTACTAAATCCAAAACACAGCACTGTACCTGCTGCTCAGAAGAAAATTATAATGATAACCCAGCTGAAATCAGGACAAACATTTCTGGAAAATAATCATGGAAGTTACCAGCCTGTTCAGTCAGCTTTCCCTCCAATGTTGATTTTTAGTTGGCTGCAAATACAAACTCTCTTATTCAGTTTCCAATTCTGTTAATACCAATGGCAACATCTCAGATGGGCTTAAGGATCTACAGAAGGGAAATACCCACCTCCTTCCTCAGCAAACAAGCCTGGGGCAGACTGATGTCTGTAGGAATCTAGGTTGCTACTTCCCTGCTGAAAGGAATACCAAAAATACCTACAGCTTTGTATTCCCCTGCAAATTTGCAGCAAACCCTGTAGTAAGCCTTCTGGAGGTATTATTGTCTATTAGTGATTTAATGGTGTGAAGACTTGATAGTGGGTACATAGCATAAGAGAAAATTGTATTGTCAGTGACAGCAGTTGTTTAGGAAAGGTGTATAGAAGTTAGGAGACATGAAAAATAGAGGTTGTGAGCACTTGTGTACCTAGGTATAGGTGTACAAGATTTCTTTGTGCTTTTAATTTATAAACTCTGATCTTACATATTTTGCTTCTGTATATTATAAAGCAACTGATTTCTCTTCAAATTAGCTGAAATGTGTTCTAAAAGCTTTGAAAACACAAACAGTTTAGAGGGTCTTGGTGTATGGAGGTAAAGTAGACAACCCTGGTACTGAAGTACAAAACATTTGGCAGAGTGGGAGAATGGAGCAAGGTAAAAGGAGAGTTTGGAAACTACTGTGAAATACAGCAGACTTTCTTGGTAAAGGCCATCATGTCCTGGAAGAAAAGTACTTATTACTCCTGATGCATTTCTTCCCAAACAGTCTCTCATTAAAGTAAATACTTAGCTGTCTGTCTCCAAAACAGCCCCTATCATTTTTTAAATCCTTTCCTGTTGAAGAAGCTTTTCAGAAAGTACCAGGAAGCAGTCATGAAGGCAGTCTAATGATAGACCTGCAACTATATCTTGCTCTTCAATCAATGCTTAGTATGGAAAAAAAAAAAAAAATTGAAAAAAAAATCAGTTGACTGTATTTATCTTCTATTTCCAGATATCTGAAAGACAGCTTTGAAAGTCTGCATCTATTGGACAAATATTTGATTGATCAGTGAAAATACTCTGGTACTGTGAAGTTGTAATGTACTTTGCAAAACCACTGTTAATTAGCCCTGGGAATGGCAGGATGCATTTTAGAGATATGTACCTCCTTCTGTCTTCCCTGAAGAAGAATTTTTTATGGCCAAAACTGCCCTAATTGAAAAATTCAGCAGAAAACTAGCATTAATATGCTGCCATTTGTGGCAGGTAAGCTGGTATTTTGTGCTCTTGGAGCACTTTCTTCCTCAGTCTGATGTTCCTTATCTCTGTTTTGTGTCATGGTGAAGAAGAGTCTGGAGTGGACAGCATAGAAATTAGGCTTACTTATTGTATCCTTCCCCTTCTTCTTTCAA